GCATCCTCGATTAACGCGTTCACTGTCAAACTAATTCCGAGTCGCTTGTGAAACGAGCGTTATACCTCGTAATGTATGGAGATAATTTGTATAGAGGTAAAACTAAAATTAATTCGTTTGCTCTGTGATGCAACAGCTCTTTTGCATACATGACACGAGTATAAGGAAATTTACCAATCTTTGGTATACTTGGATGACGACATTCAGCACTGTCATTTAGAATACTGTGTTATTTCGATATTTAAAAATTATTATTTTCGATATTACAAATTACGATATTAATATTCGACGAGATTACAAGATTTTGACGTAGAAGTCATCTGAAATTTGGCATCGAGTATCACTGCTAATAGTATCGTTACTATTATTAACCTTGACAGCAGTTAACCGATACCTGCGAGACATTCGAGGTGAGAAATCTCCACGACACCGCGATAGGGCCAAATTCTCCAGCCATTCGGATGATCCGTGAACTGGAGCATGGTCTCTTATCGCGTCTGCTTTATCCAGCAATCCGTAAAACTTGGCAAGACTGTTTGGAGTTGATCGCGTGTCGCCAGCTGCAGAAGAATAGGAAGAACACGGCCCACGAGTGCAGGACGACCGTCGGCGTTGGATAACCATCGTCAACGAGTTTAATTAATCCCCTTTCATCGTGCTGCAAGTGGAACAGCTATATTCCGCTTGGGATTGGCTGTTGCAACGACGGATGTGACTCGCGCCGTGCTTCCTGTCAGGATTCCACCGGCTGATCGAAATGGACCTCCCTGTCGTCACCTAATAGGCCAGCATTAGCGATTGTCGTCTTTCATTCGATTAGCGATTCCGATTGATTGCTCTGATGGAGCGACTATTATGGCGACGAGTCTCAGATTTCTGCGATTCCCTCTGAACTTCGCGACAGATGAAAGTTGGACCATCCGTGAAAGGCAATCAACTGGAATATAATCGGTGAGATATCGAGAAGAATCGAAATATCTACGGAAGATAATTATAAAAATGATTATACTCCTCTAAAGATAACGAAGAATTCCAGAAGTCTCTGACAGTAAAGCAAAGATAAAAGTTTGCAATTCGACTGGAAGCTTTTCATCCATTCAGAGGATGGAGTCTCTAATCTGCGAGGAAATAATCATCGACCTTCGAGGCGAAGCTAAATCCACGGAAAATCGCGAAGAAGCTACCCCCGCTGCTCGAAAGAGTCGCGTTTAATTCAGTTTACGACACAATCCGCGTCCCGTGGATTGAAGACCAGAGCTAAAAGGAACGCCTGGAGGCGCCGAGCCGAGCGCGAGAACTCGCAGACTCGCTTCCGATTACTCGTCGTCGAATTACAATGACGCGTCTGCGAGAAGCCGACGAAAGCCGCTTGAATATGCAAGCTCCGAGGCCTCCGAGTTACTCGACCAGCGTCCTCGAGAACTCGGCCTCGAGTGCTGGAAACTCCGACGGGAAGCAGACCACCGCTAGGTGTCTCTGAAAATCATTATTCCCGGCGAGTCGCTCGAAATAATGGATTCCTGATCTAATTACAACGGCGCAGAGTCGCCGGCAGAGCAGCGTCCATTTCTTTCCAGCACCTTTCGCCTAGCGTTATTGCTCGCGAGCAAACTTTCCGCGCGATTTCATAATCCCCGTGAACTTTGCCAAGTTTTATGACGCGAGGTACAACGCCACCCTCTGGCCAACTTCAATTAACCCTTTGGGAACTCTGCCACCCTGCAGCCCAACTCATATCGGGTCCGATATTTCTCCTTAAAGCCCTCTGGCCGGAGCAGTGAATACCGATATCGCGAGTTCGCTGTTGCGGATATTTTCATTAACGCGTTCAACGAATGGGCTGATCAACGAAGATCTATTAATTCGTTAAGCGACTAGAAACTTTTTACGATACCGTTGAATGCAAGTCAATCACGATAATCAAATTTGGAAGTAAAACGAATTAACGTAGAATCAGGTATTCAGGCACAATCGATGAAGGCTTCTTTGTATTATACCTATGACAATAGATCTGTAGCGGCATTATTCTCGCGCTCGCCGCTAGATGGATTCAAGCGCGAGGACTTTCTCGCAAGTACGGTGAATCCTCGATCTCCCTTAAATAGAAGTTCCTATGCTATATAAGTATCCACGTCTAAGGCAGTCCACTAGTAGATGAAACGTTCTATTCTACCTGCTACCTCATCATAGCACAATAACAAGGGGATAACCAACCGGTGGCAGCGCACCCGAAGGAATGACGAAAAACGATGACATTTCATCATTGAACCCCGTGGGAGGAATCATCACAGTACTATTTGTTCCGATGATTTACCTATCACCTAAAAGAATTTCAAGGGATAAAAAAGCCCAGGAAAAATATTCCGTTATCGTTGAATGATCGGTATTCAACCGGAAGATGACGATATGGAATCATCGATATATCCCCATGGTTGGGATTCCCATAGTACTATTTGTTCCGATGATTTACCTATCACCTAAAAGAATTTCAAGGGGATAAAAAAGCCCAGGAAAAACATTCCGTTATCGTTGAATGATCGGTATTCAACTTGAAGATGATGATATGAAATCATCGATACCCCGTGGCGGGAATTCCACAGTACTATTTGTTCCGATGATATTTACCTATCATCTGGGGCAATTTCAAAGGGATATAAAAACCCGGGAGGAAAATTCCATTATCGTTGAACGATCGGTGTTCAACTGGAAGATGATGATCGAGATAGAGAATCACGCGAGTTTGTTTTCACGAGATGGAGGCTCGATCATCGGCTGGACAATGGGCGTGCGTGACATCGTCAGCAGCCGATGCTATTGGGTTACTGGTACCGCGCGAGCTTGATGAAGTGCACTTGAGTGTACTTGACGCAAAGACGCTGAATATGCAAGCTCACCGGATGCCGGCTGTCGGCACGATGTATTACTGCGGATCTTATCCAGACCGCTGTCATCCATATTGAAACCTATTTGCATTTCAAACTCTCCCGTATACTTCGAATCCCTTCTCTTCCTACGTCCCTCCTAAATTCCTTGTTTTCTTTTTCCCTTCCAGCGAAAACTCCGATTTTCCTGTGCATGAACGCGCGACAATTACACCCGCATTTTCGCCTAACTCAGCCCTCGCGTCTGCCTCGATCCGTTAGCGAATCTTCGGAGCGAATCTGCGAAGTTTCACTGACGAGATTCCGCCAGACTTTGGGATTAAATTAAGATCGCTGAATTTTGAATGTCGGAATTACGAGTTATCGAATTAGCCTGCGGAATTATCCCAAGAATCGGGGATCTATTTGACGAGCAAGACGGTGACGAAAGAGAGGTAGATTTCGGGAAATCACGTTAGCATTAACGAAGTTTAATAAAAATTTCCAGATATAGACAACTTCGCTGGAACTTTCGAGGCAGAGATGGAAGAGGATTCGATACAGACGAATTAAATTAGGATCGATGAATCGAAAATATTAGAGGCTGTCGAAACTTCGCCGAGTGATCCAATAAGAATTGCAAGCTCGAAATGGACACTCCAGAAATTACGAAACAGGGCTTGACGCTCCCCGATAAATCGAATGAGAATCGTTTAAAAATCGTTCAATAAATTAAATAAGAATTCCAAATATTAAAGCCGAATTTATAGAATCTTCTCGCAGAATCGAGAATCTCTTAGCATCGCGAGAAAGAGCATCTTTGAAGAAATAAGAAGTCTCGAATCTTTCATCCCAGCCATCTCGTGGAAGCTCTAATGCACCGACAAAAGATCGTTTGATAATCTCCAGATCTTATTATCTCCATCGTGTGAAATTATAGGGAAAAATTAGCGACACGACTGTCAAAAACCAGCATGGCGGAAGAAAGGCGCCATCGACTGGAGTATCAGCTTGCAAAGCTGGTCCTTCGTTGCTATCTCTGGCAGAAAAATCTAGCATCCAGAGAAACGTTCCTCGACAGGCATGACTAACGAGAGAGCCAGCCCCGACTTTCGGAGAAACGCAATCTCAGCGTCTCATCTCCTGGATATTTCATCCCCCTCGCAGCGACGATTTTCGAACGCGACCTACTCCCCTTTACGTCGCGCGATAAACCCATAATCCTGGCAGCTCAGTCGGTGGAACACGAAATAAAACGAAGGTGGTACGATAACTTTCGCCGGGATTAGAGAGATCGGTCGCGCTCTTGGCACGGAAGGTCGCTCGACAATGGCACCAGTCAGTTTTACGCGCCGCTCGGGAGCGGTATCGCGCGGATTCGCGAACGTTCTCGTCGCCACCGCGCTGCAAAAGAACGAGCACGCCGAGCAGACGCAGCGTCGCGACCCAGTTTTCACTTTCCTTCGATCCTGAAGCACCTGGACTGACCGAGGTGTCCTTTTTCCTTGGTCGGTGAAGGGAAACTTTCCACCCGGAGTAGCGAAACGACTCCCGTGACGCTGCGTCTCTTCGAGCGAGCGATTACGACGTCCCGGAGCGTCCTCGTGACCAGGTTGTCTTCGCGCTGAGTTTTTCGAAAAGTTTTTCTCCATCAGGGAGAGAGAAAGAGAGAGAGAGAGGGAGAAATCGGGTCACGTTCACGCGATGATTGCAGGGTGTCTGGGGGACAAAGGAGAAGAATGAACCGAACCGGAGGCCACAAGGGCGGAAAGATTGGCGAAGTTACGTGAGAAAAGGATAAAAAGGTTGTTCGACGAGAAACTCGCGGACTATGCTCTCCTGTTCCGTGCAGTCTTCAGAGTTACCATGGGGATGGCAGGAACCTGGGGAAACTCGCGGTGGCGTCGGATCGAGCGAGTTGCTGAAGAGGAGCCAGAAGAGGAGCCAGAAGGGGAGCAGAGGGTCGGATTAACGTCGAGTAAGGAAAGGAACGAGGGTCGGTGAGATTTCGAGCGCGAATCCATCCTGGCGACGAGGATTTCGGGCCTGGGACGCGGCTGTGTGTGGCTTAAGTCTAACTGTATTCTCAGGGGTGGGTTGACAGGGGTGGCTCGCAGCCTAAGGGCGACGTGAGCTTACCTTGCTTCCCCTTTCGTTAAATATGATTTCCACGTCGAGGATCGGCCCGAATTGCTGGAAAACAGAAAACAACGTTGTCTCGAGAACGTGTCAACAATTGTATTAGGTAAGATGAGACGAGGAGTGAAGGTTGTCAACGCGGGACTATCGTGGTGCACAGTCGTGTTCTTTATATTTCACAATTAACATTTAACCCTTTGCTCTCGACGATTTTTTGATTAAAGAAGGATACGAGTTTAAAAATTGTCTGCTATAATGCTAATGATACTTTTTGAACAGTAAATAAGAAATCGTATAATAATTAACACGAAGAATTATTTTATTTCGATACCTCGCACACTGTTACATTATTTTAAATTTGATACATTAATTAATATCGTGCTTCGAAATTTTATCAAATGGCTCCTTTAAAATGCAAAGGGTTAATACTGGTCCAGTTGGAACCAGTAGTCGAAAACGATAATTGAGCAAACGTGTCAAAAACATTGTTCTCCGAATGCAATCATATCGTGGCTAAATCACGATACTATTCTAGCATGTCGTTCTTCCTCTTTCCTTTTAGTTTCCCACTGGAACCTAAAATCTTACGAATCATTTCTTCACCCCTTCTCTCATGTGGACGTAAAATAGTTGCTGATTAAATTCGTGCAATTTAGACAGCGTGGATGTAACGAGACACGTGGATGGAAGAACTCACCCCAAACATTGCCCTGAGATCAGGGTCTCGGAAGCGGAAAGGTATATTGCTGACGTGAAGGCGTTTAGGTTGACCTTTCAGGTCGCTACCCTGTGTGGCGGTCGCAGGTGTGGTTGCACCCGAAGTGACAGGTACCAGGGCACTGCCTTCGACGGCACCCTCGGGGTTGGTCTCGTTGCCTGCTGGCGTGGGGGCGGGTTGTTGGCCACCTCCGCCTGCAGCTGCAGCTGCCGCGGCCGCCACTGCTGCCTGGAACACCTCCGACTGTCGTCGAAGATCAAAGATTATGTCAGTATTAAAATTCATCCGTGTTCGATACATACATATTAATTAACGCTATGATAAACCAGCGAAACGCGATTTCGTAGTATCAAATGAAATATCAACTTAAGAGTTCTGTAGACTGCGAAATTTTTGGTATGATATAAAAATGAAGGACTTGATCTTTCAACCTAAGTATTTCAAAATTCTTTACAAAATTTCCTGTATTCTGTCTACAGTCTTAAATTTCCTGTGTGGTGAACTTAAATTACAATTCTGTAAACAGCCCTACGAATATTCTTCGTCACAAATATACATTTTCAAGATATTGTTCCATGGTACAGGGTGAAGGAACTGATTCTTCAATTTGTGACAGGTAATAGATGGATCCCTACTTGAAGAAGAAAGACTTTGGAAGAAAGTCCTTGGTAAAACCCTCCACTTTCTATGTACAGCATTTCCAGACTTTCCAATACTATCCTCGTCTAAAACAGGACCTGCTAGGTAGCCTCACTGATGGCTACTGTCTACTAGCAGGCCCAGGACGAAATGCATCCCTTCATTTTCCTTTCATCCCTTCCACCGCCACCGTTATAATGAGTACCTATGGTCCAACTGACTACAGCAACCATAGCAGAGGACCCCCCAAATTTAAACATTAAATTTAATCCTCATATCCCTTATATCCTCATTTATCAAACCTTGTAAAATTTCTATAATGATTCTGGAGTATCTCAAAATTCTCTACCAAATTTCCCGAATTCTTTGACACCTTTAAATATCTCCTACGATGTTCTTGATCTACAATCTCGCAAATAGTCCCATAAATATTTCTCCAATTCCCATCGAAGCTATCAATCCCCAACTATCGAACAACAATTGCCCAGACGTCACTTGGAATCGAATTCAACGTAAGTCCTCGCAGCAGCATTCGGAAAAACGAGCCGAGATGTTTGGCAGAGACGTGCGAGACGCGATCGTTAGCAATGCGGAGCCGCAAGCTGTACAGGAGCCGCAAGTAGAGTCGGCTGTAAGTGGTCAGCCGCACGGCCGACCTTATCTCGCTCGCGCCACTAACGAGGCTAAGTGAACACACGTCGCGTGTAGTCAGACGCAGCTGCCGCTGCGTGGAATTTCTGGCCTCGCTACTGAACACCCTCTCCTACCTTCAACTTTATCACGTATGTCGCGGCTTGCACCGCCGCGCCAACTATCCGGCTACTGGAACTAAAGCAATTTCGACCACGAGCCCGCCATTAATAAACACTTAGTCGAAACGACACGTCCCGACTCGGCCTTACGCGGCAAGGAGTTTGCAACCGGGGCCAAGTACGATTAAAATTTCATCTCCATCGCGACGGTTCGAGATCCGCTTTTTACCACGATTAATTCATCGCCGAGAACGGCGAGTTCAGCGAGACTCGCTCGCAAACCGGAATTAATTCCCGCATCCAAGAATGCGGTACACGCGATGAAATTTAGATGGGCCAGAGCCTAGAGGCCGGGTCTTTCTGTTCCCGTGGCAGACTCACGAATTATTCATCGAGCATCGACTGTCCAACGTCGATAGCAGAGATTAGGGTTGCAAGAGAGGTGCACACGCTCGTAGACGCATCCTGCGACGCAGGAACCTCTCTATGCTGAATTAAAACTTTATGTTTTCTAATCTTGGGGATGAAATAGATGGAGAATATTGAGAGTCAAAGAATGGGGAGGTTCTAAAGTACTTCTTTCACCCGAAACCTCGAAAATTCGAAATAAATTTCTGTCCCGGTCTCCCTTTATTCTATCCCATCAAGAATAAAGAGAAACCACTCTCAAAAGCAACAAAAGGTAACCACCTTTTTCAACGCAAAGATAATAACGATAATAACTCACAAAGAACTGCATGAAATTACTCTGCCAAATTCCTCGTGCTTTCTCCCCAGGGGTGCAAAATTTCGCGAATGGAAAAGCATAACGAAACGGTGCTCGACGACACCGCACACAAACTCGAACGTTAATCGAAAAAATTCGCGACTCGAGAATGACAAAGGGGGTGCAGAGAAAATGACAGCGGGGGGTTGTACACGAATTCTCCGCAATTTCGCCGCACTGCTGCCGCACGTCGGCTGTCGAAGGCTCGCAAAAACGAGGCCGATCGCGTCGCGTTTAATCGAATGAAATTGCGCCATTCCGACTTTTTTATTGCTTTCCGCTTGTACCCGCGCGCGCAAGTTTACGAGAGAAAACGAGGCCGATCGCGTTTAATCGAACGAAATTGCGCCATTCCGACTTTTTTATTGCTTTCCGCTTGTACCCGCGCGCGCAAGTTTACGAGCGTCCAACACTCGTTTCAATTAGACGAAATTATTCCAATTCGTCGAGCGGCACACGAACCGTGTCGTTAACCAGTGTACACCCTCCTGCTCTCTTCGAAGTTATCTTTTTTTTAGTTCCGGTACCTCGTGCACCCTTTTCCAGTATTTATGCGCCACCCGTTAGTTATCCACTTTAAATTCCCTGAATTATTTCAGGGACGTTCTCCGTTGCATAGAGGGGGTATAAAATATTTTCGGTTTCCCTTTTCCTTGTATTTTATTGTCGAAACGAAGGTGGAAAGCAAGAGTCGTATTTTTCAGCGAAATCGCAAGAAATTTCGCGATCGAGTAACACGAACTCTGAAGAATCGTTGGTAGATTCTTCGCGGAAGCTCCGTCGACTGACATAAATAATAGGGATTTCTCTCCGACCTGGCAGGAATTTATCGTTCCCGAAAACTCCTGGTCATTTGTTTCCTCTTCAATTCCTTTAAAGGACTGGCCGCAAAAAGACTCGGGGGTCTAAGAGGGTCTCTCGCGAGCGTGCAGGCGAGGAACGAACATCATCTGTCTTCCCTGTCACGGTTACGGTAACCAATTTCGTATTAAATTTGCGAATTCTCGATAGAAGGACACGCCGTGGGATTTAGGTTATGCGATCTTTCATTTCTGCCAGGCTTCGTTGCATGCCCCCCCCCATCGCGATTTTTGTTTTTCGCGTTTAAGATTCCTGTGTGTGCTTTGGTTTTGATATTCTTGGAATAGCAGAGTCAAAAATATTGGACGATGCAGTGGATGGAATAATTTAAGTACGAGAGTATGAAAATTAAAAAAAAGAAATAACAAATGCATCACGGAAATTTATATTCTAAAAGCATAAATATAAATTGTGCTGTAATTTGAAGAATGTTTATAAATTATTATATTTGTTATTACAATTTGCTCGTAACGTAAATTTGTAATAAAAGTGAAGCAATTAATAAATTATTGGTATTGCTTCAATTTAGAACGAACTTGTGTTAAACAGTACCTATAAATTGTAAAAGGTTAATAAATTATTATAATTAATATTAGTAACAAATTATTTGCAACGTAAATGTATAATAAAAATGAAAAAATTAATAAATTATTGGCTATTATTTCAACTTATGACGAATTTGAGCTAAATTGGATCTATAAATTGGAAAAAGTTTAAAAATTATTGCAATTGTTGTTAATAAATTGTATGGAACGTAATTTTATAATAAAAATGAAAAAAAATAACAAATTATTGGTTATAACTTGAACTCATAACGAATTCATGTTACAATGTACCAAAAATTTACAAAAAGTTTATAAATTATTGCACCTATTGTTAATAACAAACTAATATTGTTATTAACAAATTGTACGCAACGTATATTTATAGTAAAAATGAAAAAATTAATAAATTATTGCCTACGAGAGCGGAAAATTAATAATTAATAAAATCCGCAAAGTTCCAAAACCTCCGATAGGGGTGGGGGATTCGGTCGGATCGGAGGGTATATATAGGGCGACGCGACGCAGCAGAACTCATTTGTCAGTTCGACCTCGCGAGTGTAACATCTAAATTTTCGTAGTGCGCGAGGGTGGAGGGTCCGAAGTGAGGTTGGGGCTAGCCACCCCAACCCCACTCCTCCACCTAAAACCATTTAATAATTTCTTTTTGTTTTCAGGTATTAATAATTTTTTTTTTGTTTTCAGGAGCTAATTATTTTATTTCTTTACAGGTTTTAATATTTTATTATTTATTCAGATTTCATTTTTTCGTTTCTATTTGTCTTTCTTTGAGAATTCGAATATTTCGTATAATATTCGAATGTTTCGTCGTTGGCTTGTTTCTATCTTATCATAGGGTTGTTCGTTCCATTTGTTTCCATCCTTGTGGTTTATTTTCGTTTCTCTTTCATTTTCTTACTAATCCGTTTTATTTCAGCTTAATATATTTTCTGTTTTAGATTTTCCAGTTTTTCAAGACATTGTAGATTCCCTACAGATGACGTCCTTGAACGTCGCAAGGTGCGTTTAGACATAAGTAGTTGTAAGCTAGATATATTCTTAGACTAAGTTTCATGTGCGTGCTATCTTTACAAAGGAAAGCTACCTAACTTGGAGCGAATATATACATTTCATATTTCTCCCTTTTCAACCCTCTCGTTTACCAAATAGAACATAATTGTTCTCGCGATAATCACGATTTTTCCTAAGTACCGACTAGCCTGCGCGACGTGCTCTCGTGTACTCGGTAACTCTATGCTCCGTAAGTCATCCTCACGACTCGTCACCGACATTCATTTCCAGCCACTGTCAATCTCGTCAAGCATCGAGTTCCAGGGTGGCCCTCGGGTCACTGAGATTCTTCTGGAATCGATGCGGAGGCCCAGCATGGGCCTGCAGCTGGACGGGCATAGTGTCTACGGTCAGACCACTTGGGATGATTAAGTTCTACCCCTTGGGGCAGGGACACGAAGTGTCTGTCTGGCTTGCAAGGCCTGGCTGGACCCTCGTATCGACTCTGGGAGTTTCATTGGTTCGGGGACTATCTCTGGTCCACGTGTAAGTCTTGACGCGTGCGACAGTGACTGGAATTGAGCTAGGCCCGATCGGGAGGGTGCCGAGGCACGGAGTTGCCTTGTACACGGGAGTACATCGCCTAGGCTAGTCGGTCTTTCGAATAATCGC